CCAAACAGTATTTACTACACTCCTATATATGGAGAAAAAGAGCTCCATAACCTTCAACTCAAAAAACTTCATGAACTCGTCGATCCCGCAACCAAATTTTCCATTTGTCAAAAATGACAACGAATGATCAATTAGTTGCAAAGTAAATGAATATTTGAAAAATATGATTGTTTATCAGCGAAAGATTCAAAAGAAAGAGCCAACGGCACGTGGTGTTCCCAAGCGGTCACCCATCCAAGTACTAACCACGCTCAACGCTGCTTAGCTTCAGTGATCGGACGAGAACTGGCGAGTTCAGCGTGATATGGTCGTTGGCTGAAATTCTGTTCAAAAAAATTTCGAATATAGCCTAAGAATTCGTGATCCAATTAAAAATAGAGGTGAAGAACTAAAGGCCGTTGAAAATACTGTAAATTTCATGAAGTGAAATCAGGAGTAACTAGTGTCTTTAGCCGAGTGAAGGCCAAACAGTGTTCACCACACTCCTATATACGGAGAAAAAGAGCTCCATAATCTTCAAATTAAGAAACATCATGAACACGTCGAACCCGCCATCAAATTTTCCAGTTCCCAAAAATTACAACGAATGATCAATTAGTCGTAAATGAAAATTTGAAAAATTTGATTGTTTATCAGCGTCATTTTATTGCACGCTATCACCGCGCCTGAAAAAGGAAAAATTCAAAAGAGAGCCAACAGCACGTGGTGTTCCCAAGCGGTCACCCATCCAAGTACTAACCGCGCTCAACGCTGCTTAGCTTCAGTGGTCGGACGAGAACTGGCGTTTTCAGCGTGATATGGCCGTTGGCTGAAGTTTTGTTGGCAAAAAATTCGAATATAGCCTAAGAATCCACGATCTAATCGAAAATAGATATGAAGAACTAAATGCCGTTGAAAATAATGTAAATTTCATGAAGTGAAATCAGGAGATACCAACAGTATCTTTGGGCAAGTGAACACCAAATAGAGTCTACCATACTCCTATGTGCCGCTAAAAAGAGCTTTTCAAACTCCATAAACTTATCGATCCGGGAATCAAATTTTCCAGTTCCCAAAAATGACGAGTGATCAATTAGTCACAAAGTGAATGAAAATGAGCAAAATGGGTTCGGAAATGAAAATAGAGAGTATAGATATTTCAAGATTTGGTTAGAAAGGCACTCCAATCTAGAAAATCTAGAAAATAACGAAAATCTAGAATTTCACCGTTACTCCTCCTGGTAACCTGTACTAATTTGTGTAAATGGTAGTTAGCAAGAACATATTAACATTAATAAATTCTGAAAGCAGATGGTGATTGTAAATCGTTTATGGTAAACAATGGTACACCAATACCATAGGCCATCGATTAAATTCGAATATACGTAATTAATTAATTTTTTATATATTTTCCTTTTGGGGTTCTCCACCAACTACGTCCTCGTCGTGAGTCCTGGGTTACGCCAAGAATTGGTGAGGATTGAATTCTTCACCAGGAATCTGTTGGTTCCTTTAAGAACTTGGTTACCTCATTGAAAGAAAAGAATTTTAATTCTTCAAAAAATGAAGTTATTGCCATATGAAATTAATTTCATTTATTGTTGTAAGAAGGTACGAAGGAGTTGAAGAAGGAATACCTTTCATCCATTAAATTTAATTTAAAAAAAACCTGATGGATATAATAATAAGAAAGGACCACAACAATACTCCATTCAAGAACCCACAGCTTATATGTTTTTGCATCAAAGGAGTACATAGTACCTTTGAAGATATTCGAATTCTAATGTTATTATGCCAATCATTACTAAATCATTATAAAGATGATTTAAATACTAGACGTGAAATAAATGAATTGGCCAGGCTAACTGATTTACCACTAATTTGGGTCTACTTTGTCACCCATGATTCGTGCACTAGTTACTCACGGATGATCGTAACAATTCCTTCTCTATCACTGAAACTGCGAAGAATGTATTCTGTATAGCCTGGTGAGAACCCCGAAAAAAAGGATTCGGTTACAGACTTTTTGAAATGTGAGATATGTGTATAGCCGTTTAAGGTACTTTAAGTTCGAACCAGAGCAGGAAGAGTTCAGAATTCCAAAAAAGGCTCAGATCCGTTAGGCTGGATCTTCAACTGATCAAGAATTTCCTACCATACCCTATCACGATTGAGGTCTAACGTTTCGGAATATCCGAACTGGACCAGGAATGTGAAGTCTATTTTTTCCAGATTTGACTGATCAGAATAGGATCAGAAGTAACTGAGCCATACCGGATCCAGATAATTTATTCAGAAACTGACCAGGTCCTTATCTGAGAGTTCTGATCCGAAAATCCTGACCAGTATTGCATCTAAAACTGATTTATACTCAGACAACCTGAGTGAAATTAGCACTCGGGTGGTCGCCAAATTAATGAAAATTAGTAAAATTTAATTGCTTATCAGTGATATATTATTACCTATTAGCACTTCTGAAAAAATAAAATTTTAAAAGAAAGGGCCAACGGCACGTGGTGTTCCCAAGCGGTCACCCATCCAAGTACTAACCACGCTCAACGCTGCTTAGCTTCAGTGATCGGACGAGAACTGGCGTTTTCAGCGTGATATGGCCGTTGGCTGAAATTTTGTTGAAAAAAATTTCGAATATAGCCGAAGAATCCACGATATAAATAGCATTGAAAATGTAAATTTGATGGAATGAAATCAGGAGAGACGACAGTGGCTTTGGCCAAGTGAGCACCAAATAGAGTCTACAACACTCCTATGTTCGACTAAAAGGAACTTTTGAAACTTCAACTCAAAAAACTTCATAACCTTATTGATCCGCCAATCACATTTTTCAGTTCCCAAAAATGACGAGTGATCAATTAGTCGCTAAGTGAATGAAAATGAGCAAAATCGGTTCGGAAATAAAAATAAAGACTATAGAGCCTTCAAAATCTCGTTAGAAAGGCCCTCTAATCTAGAAAATCACGAATCTAATCATTTCCCCTCCTGGTAACCTGGTAATTCAGAAACTGACTAGGTTCTTATCTGGGGAATCTGATCCGAAAATCTTGACCAGTATTGGATCTAAAACTGCTTTAGACCATCAGAAATTTCCAGAAAGGATTTTTTTTTTCGGTCTAAACAATTACCGGATGAAAATATCACTCATAAACTTGAGTGAAACGGGTTAATGAATTCGCGATATCGCTCATTCACGTCACAAGAATCTTCCTCTTTACACCAATACTCAATTTTTTCTTGTAGTAATGGAGAAAAGGATTGTGGCAAGAATTTTTTTGGTTCCAGAAATTTGTTTTTTCTCTCGAGGGTAATCAGTGAATATGCATTGATGTGATAATATAGTTATGAAGTTAAGATCAAGAACGAAAACGAAAAAAAAACCTCTCACAATCACGTTGTGAAGAGTAGAACAAGACAACTTTCCAAATAAGATTCTGATAAAAATATGATTGAATTTGATGAATGTGTGAGCTATGGAATGAACACTACAGAAAAGGTTTTGATATTCTTCAGAAACTGATTTGGAATTCAAATTTCATTGATACCTAGCAATGAAAATGCGATTAAGAATATTGTATATACGTAGGTAATTGAAATTATTCAGAGGGCGAGACAGGACAGAAGAGTGAAACGCGCAGTCTCCAAATGTCAAAGCTTTTTTTGTCCACGTGTAGATGATAACATGATACTTACATTGACTGTTGAACATAAGGATGTATATCGAGTAATGGTTGTTTCCCACATGCGGAAATTACCATTGTCCAATCGTCTCAAACAAGACTGGAATTCCAAACGTACTACAGAGAATGAAATACTCGAAAATTCAGGAGAAATATATAACTATTTTGTGTTTCAAGCAATCTTAAGTGACCAAAAAATGAAGTCAGATATACAACTACCGTCATTTTTGTAAATGTTCTATATATTCAGTCAATTCCTATGCATCCATATTCATAGCATTAATTTGAAAATCCAATCAACAGTTGTTGCTTAACGTACAATGTGAAGAATTTTTCCAACTATTATAGCTGTTGTACAAAGTGCCATTATACGGCCTTTCCATCGTAGGGCACGGAAAATGTCCAACGTCATAGACCGGCTCGTCCCAAGACCGTGTCTTACGTCCTACCGGTTCGATTAGATTCCTCCAAAGGGAAAAGGCAGCTGGAAAGGTATAATCATCAAGTCAAGGAATGGAGAAAATTCAGAAACAATCTCCGTGAAACTAAAAATCAAGGTTTTTACGAAATTATGGTGGCCCAAGCGACTGCATGAAATTAAACTTCTTTGAGACAACTCATAATATTATGGAAACTCAGTTTGGGATACGCCATGAGGCAATGGTAATGTTAAAAATCGTTAAATCAAGGTATTCAAATTAAATCCAAGAGAATAAGGTAAGGCGTTTACATCGAGGGGCTGGTCACTCCTCAATCCTGTGGCTCAATGATTTCCCGAATGGGATGATTTCCTGTGATTTCTTGAATGATTTCTGTGCATTCTCAATAAAAACTGGAAATCATGATTTCTTTCGATTTTTCGTGATTTCCATGATCTATAGTAGATTCTGATGATTTCTTGATGTCAAGAAATCACTCGAAAAATCATGATTTCGGGGCCAAAGTGGGGCATTTGTCGATAATCGCATAAGGGTAAGCTTCTGGGAACCCAAGAGTTTAGAAGGGCTTTGTGCATGTAATAGTAAGAATCAAATGGCGTATGCATAAGAAGATCATGAGGGTCAGACGGGATGGAGATGAGTGAGCTCGAATAAAAAATTAAGGTTTCACTTTTGAAACTACATGAAAAACGATTCGAAAAGATGAATTTTTGTATTACAAATGATGAAAATACTCCGAAGAATCGAACTACGAAGCCGTTTTATTTATTAATTACTCCGTTTTTCGAAAAAGGGCATTAAAAAAATAATTCGATAAAGGTGACTAGATTAAACCGTCCAGTTTGAAAAACAAAAAAAACTGAAAAATTGAAAATTAAAAATCGCCGACAGAAAAGTTTTCAATTGACTCATTTAAAAACTGAAAAGGAGTGAAATGAAACAACTCAAAAGTAAAAAATTGAAAATTAATAACCCCCAACGAAAAAGTTATCAATTGACTTATTTTGGTTTTTCAGTTTTTAAATAAGTCATTGTAGGAGGGGAAATAGCCTATAAGAGATGACTTTTGAGGAATTCTCATTTTGAGAATTATTATTATTTATTTTGGACCGAAAAAGTAAGGCTTGTATGGATCCGTGTTCGATTAAAACACTAGGATCCTAAGGTTCTCATTAGCATCGGATCCAATGCAGATCTAGTCGAGATTTGACTGACCAGAATAGAATTGGAATTTACTCCGCCGCATTAAGTCCCGATACTTTGTTCAGAATCTTATCACACGCATGAAAAAATTCAATGAACAACCGAGCGAATTCACTAGAAAATTCTATTGGAATTCGATGGGGTTTCTATAGGATTTCTATTGGAAAATCCTAGTGGTTTTTCGCGCCGATTCTATTGCATATTTGATAGGTAAAAGCCAACATATTTTGAATTTCATTTCGAATTATTTTTTTGAGATTATTTCTATTAGCATTATTGGGCACAAAATTTTTTTGTTTTTTTGCTGAATTTCGTTTTGTTTTGCATTGCAGAATCCGACTTGGCTCATGGGCTCATATCAATCTGACAATGAGTCGATGCTGCCTTTTCTGTTTTTTTTTATTTCAAGAAGATTTTTTTTTAATCCTTTGATTTAGAGTTACCATTGGATATTTCTTGACTTGGCTTTGATTCCGATTCTAACACAAAAGAACTTACTCCTTGCATTTCCAAGTGGACTCAAGTGAAAACAATCGGCCGAAAGATACCGATAATCCGAGATTCCATTCGCTAATCGTGGGAGTTTGATATCAGTAGTGAATGGCTGAACAACTACGGCGAATTCTTCAGTTTGGAATTCCGAATAAGTTCCAATATCTTCATCAATCGACAGCCACCTATTGATGGACAAATGATATTAATAAGGCTTACGTCAATTTCAAGAATGGTAGAATGAAACCGACAAACCTTCTCATTGTCTCATAAAATTCTTGCCTTCGATACCTCCAAGCTAAGCCTAATAAACAGGGACAATTGAAATTCGTCGTCAAAGCACATAATTTCGATTTTCCCGTCGTTTCAACAAGTGTTTTCAAATGTGGGGGAGGTACTAGCGCTATTAAAGTTCGTGGTAGATTTTTCTTCAGGATTCGGAGAGTTTCAATTATATCAGCCTTGTGGTGGTCCAAAGATACCCTGGGTGGATCATCCCAACATATGTCATTACAAAAATCGAAAGCTCCGATGAAAAGCGTAATTAACTGTGAATTAAAAAAATTCTTTTGTACATATGAAGTTTTCCTCATTGTCGAAAGCTCAAGCACATTGTCATTTAACAATTATCATGATTATTGATTATCGTGATTGTTAATTATCACGTATGAGAAAATTTCATAGAAAATCCTGTCGGATTGACTAGGAAATCCCATTGCAATCCTATGCACTGAGAAACAAATTTAATTTGGATGAGAAATGATGTTCAAAATCTGGCCTGCATTTTGGGCCAACTCGTTTCCCCGTCCTTTACGAAAATTCTCAACAATCGACGAGCACGCACGTAGTCGTGAGCGTGTTCCACGGTGGTCAGTACATCATCGATTCTGATCAGGAATGAATCACAGAAAATTATCCGGGCGCACATCGACGCAATTGTCGGGAAATTCATCGGTAAAGTTATCGAACATCATCGTAAATTATCCGGTCAATTATCTAAATATTCCGTGTTTGTACAGTCCACGTCGGTAAATAAACTATTTATTAGAAATTCATCGAGTGTATATTTCAGTGCACTAAGTTTTCAATATAGTGACAATCAACGAAACTCATCTTAAGGATAATCGGGCGAGGAGAAAATGTAGGAAGTGAAGCGGAGGGGTTTCTATTGTTTTGCTGCAGAAAACCAATAGCTCAACAAAAAAAATTTTCCCGTTCGGATTCAAATTTCAGGCAATATTAGGGAGTATCTCCGGTTAAAAATTATTTTTCAAGCTAATCATATTTATTTGTATTTGTTCCACGCATTGAATGGTTTTCAGATTGTTTTTTTTTAATAACTGAAAAAATATTAATCCATGCGAAAAAGTGGTAACATTGTCGGTAGTTTTTTTTTCACCAGGAGTTGGTACCACTGGCTCGAGGGAGCTCCAATCACAACGCTTCATCGCTCTCTCTCTCAAGAGACGTTTAAATTGACCGCGCTATCCCCACCCGATCGATACTTGGGACCTCGCTGCTCGTTTGGGCTGCGCGCCCAGAAATTTCATTTTTCAGTACTTTTTTCGCTATTATTAATAAACAATGCTCCTAGGCGACAATCTTTTTCACTCAAAAAATCATTGATCACATGTTCTAAATGTGTCTAAAGTTTCATGACTTTGGCTGCATTTTTTCCTTGGGTTTTGCAGTTTTTTCGGTGATTTCCATAAGATCACGGATTAAATGACCACTTCAAAAATTCATAATAAATTAACTATGCTCCTCACCAATCTGAAACTTTGCTCACGCCTTTTCCATCATTTAAAGAATACGTAAAAAAAAGAAAAAAATGGCTGCTTTTTTCCAACCCTCCCAGCTCGCCCGATTATCCTTAATTTATTCTCCGGCAATGATTCCACTTCACTTTCCATCCCGACCTCCCTATCATCAAAATCCCACAATATTTTTAACAGACGCACTGTAGCATCAATTTTATTTGTGATCAAGTTACTCAGAGGTATCAATTATTGTCCATAATTCTTTGAACAGCTGCCGTTGAGGATACGACTGAGTTTGAATCCTAGATCTCAAGTTCCTTTCTACTTACCGACAATTAATCTAGAACAAATCTAGAATAATTTTATCATCTCTCTTTCGGTTCTCTCTTTCGATTTAACAACCAGTTGTTGAATTTCAACAACTATGTGAATCCGAATAGTATTTTCTAGCCGAATTAGGAGTGAAATAAAAGACATTTTTTCAGGAGAAACATAGCTTTCACCCTTAACTCTCCTGAACTGGCTCAATGAGCACAGCGCCGCCTTCTCTCGATTTTTTTCTTGGTGCATGCAAAATTATGTATGAAAAAATTTGTAAAAATTAAAATGCCTAGTTCAAACTTTCTAGAATGGACTGGTAAGATTCGTATCCCTTGAAAACTCCATGAATACCATGAAAAATAATAATTTAGTGAAACTGGTACGGAAAAGCGGCGCCTCGCCGCCCGGAGCCAGTGGACTTGTGTAGTCGGTTTGTAGCCGCGCTGTTGCCAGGTCGTTCGTTTCAGTTCAGACATACTAGGAACTTCAACATCTTTATCACGTGCCATGTTTGGCGTCTCATAAAAAACGCGAATTAATTTTTTTTTAGAGCATAAATGGTGTTTAATTCGAGAAAAATGTGTGCAGTGTAGATTTTTATTCACGTATAGGGCTCCAATGTGGCAACACAGCGCTAACCGTCACACGGGCGGCGCGTTGCTCACCGAGCCAGTGGACTCGGGTGGGCACCGAACGCTAGTTCAGGAGGGTTACCGTGATGTCTAATGTACCTTCCAATGTTTATTAATATCAACACGAGGATCATTCACTATTCGATTGATCAAGCTTCGAGCCATAAAGGGCATGTCCCTCGAAAACGATCCACTCTCAGCGACATTAAATTGAGACGCTGGATTATGGGTCGATGTGTCTCCCAATGCATATCCAACCAGGTTTGGATTAAATTCCTATTAAATCAGTATACAACCGAGATTTATTCACCGAAAAATCCAATGGAAATGTTCAATTTTCGTGCTGAAGGCGCCTATTTGAAAAGCCGGGGACGAAACTGTCAGATCTTGGATTTTTTCAAGGGGAAAGTCGGTCAAAGGGTCACGAGGGCAAAAGTGTCAGATCTTGGATTTTTCCAGGGGAAAAGTCGACTTTCGCCAAAATCGATTTTTTTAGCCGGGTGAACGTTGATTCCAACTATTTAAGCGCCGGGCTATTCAGAACTCTCAAAAGTATGTGGAAAAAGTGAAAGCTGAAAAAGTTTTCTTTTTTCAGATTTTCAAAGGGTCAGATTTTCCGTTTTCCCAGGGGGAAATGTGAAAACTGAAAACAAAATTTTTTCACCGGGGGCGAAAGTGTCAGATCTTGGATTTTTTTAGGGGGAAAGTCGGTCAGAGGGCCACAAGGGTCACAACGGTCACGAGGGTCAAAGTGTCAGATCTTGGATTTTTCCAGGGGGAAAGTCGACTTTCGCCAAAATCGAATTTTTTAGCCCGGTGAACGTCGATTCCAACTATTTAAGCGACGGGCTATTCAGAACTCCCAAAAGTATGTGGAAAAAGTAAAAACTGAAAGTTTTTTTTTCCGATTTTCAAAGGGTCAGATTTTTCGTTTTTCCAGGGGGAAAGTCGACTTTTGCTAAAATCAACTTTTTTAGCCAGGTGAACATTGAGTCCAACTATTTAAGCGACGGGTATTCAGAACTCTCGAAAGTATCCTATCATAAAAAGGAGAAAAGAAATCGATCCCGAAATATCTTGAAAATCTCAAATAAGCGTAAACGTAAGACTGAAACCGAAGCGCCACTACGAGAGGAGATAAGAAGGCGCGTGCGCAGCTGATGCCGTATTATCAAAGAAGAGTCATAAGACCCAGCCAGGAACTGACAGAATCCTTTATATGAATATCATGTAATAACAAGCGGGTTTCTGATTCATGTGAGAACCATGGAGTTTCAAATCAATCGAATTAGGCTTTCCTTGTCGTCTTGTCATCAAATAAAAGTGGGAGTCTTCGGAGAATATGAAACGCACGCCTCATGCTTTTTTAGAGATTTACATGAATTGAGTCAGGCTAAGGAGAAAAGTCGCAATGTTGTGGCGAAGAAGAAAAGGATGAAGGGGTAACAGTTGGAGAGGGCTCATTCGCCAGTCTTTAACCAGATTTTGAATGGTGAAATATCAATAAAATTGCTCGGATATGTTTTTTCATCACACTGTAACGAAAAGTGGACTTTTCGGCACGCTCCGCGTGCCTAAAAGTCCAATTTCCGCCACATTGTGATGAAATAGTATATTTCGATACGAGTGAGACAGAATTTTCACGAGTGTGATTGGCAGCCCTCGGCTTCGCCTCGGGCCGCCAACTTCGCACTTGTGAAAATTCCTGTCTCACATGTGTCGAACAATAGTTTTTGACAGTGATGTTACGTTCAGCGAGTGGCGAACTGTGCCTTTTTTCGTTTACTAGTAAACGAAAAGGCACTTTACGACACGAGGTGAACGTAGCAGCAGTGTCAAAAAATATTGTTCGTAACTCGTGAAAAAATGTTTTTTAGCTCGTGGGATTATATCACTCGCCTTCGGCTCGTGATATAAACCTCCGACTCGCCAAAAAACACTTTTTTGCACTCGTTACGAAATATACTATTTTGTCACTGCTGCTACGTTCAGCCCGTGTCGAAAAGTGCCTTTTCGTTTACATGTTTCGACTTTTCGTTTACTAGTAAACGAAAAATGGCACAGTTCGGCACTCGCTGAACGTAACATCACTAACAAAAAATATAGTTCGGATACACGTGCGACGGGGTGTTTTAACTCGTGTGATTGGCAGCCTTCGGCTTCGCCTCGGGCCGCCAACTTCACACTCGTTGCCACCCCGTCACACTTGTATCGAAATATACTATTCATAAACCATTTCCTAAATTTTTTTCGTTCACACCTTTTTCATTATTCAAAAATTGCGTCCACATTATTCCACAACTGCGCAGGGGTCGGTTGTGGACATTCGAAATCTGGGTTCGGGATGATGTTTTATTTTTACGAATATTCTTCTAATTCCTAACTTGTTTAATCGAAATCAAGCGTCTTTCTGTTGGACAAACATCCAAATTGACTTCTAAAAGTTGCTATTATATATCACTCCTGCCGGGAAAAAACGCGAACAATCTGATATTAATGGGTGCACGGAGAGAAATTTTTGATAAAGGTTACCCTAGCGTTCTATAAAAGTGTATCATGAGTCATCGTTTCCTCATTTCTATCCCGAAATTTAGTAAAAATTAATATATGATGATCAAATTTTCTTCTACGTTAGAGAAATTTTATTCTACGTTAGAGAAATTTTATCCTGACGCATAATAAATTTTACCCTTCCAGTCCAGTAATTTTTATGTAGATAACAACGAAAATTCTAGAACGGTTGGTAAATTTTACTCTACCGGTACAGTAATTTTTACTCTACCGGCACGGTAATTTTTATTTTTATCAGGATAAAATTGCTCCAACGTAGAATTAAATTTGATCATCACATATTAATTTTTACTAAATTTCGGGATAGAAATGAGGCAACGGTGACTCATGGTACACTTTTACTGAACGGTAGGATAATTTTTATCAAAAAGTTCTCTTCGTGTGGGTGCCCCTTAACCATTCGCAAAACTGGTATCACCATGGTATCACTACTGAACACTTGCTGTTGATGCGTGTCGAGAAGCCTTTCAACACACGTAATAATCGAACATTCCTGGGACTATCAAGAACTGTCCTTTGGCACATGAACAAAGGAAAAATATGAAAAAAGATGATAAGGAATAATGCATAACTTGAAATTCCTCATGGACTTGGAATTTTTTATGAGAACGAGTTCCGCACTTTTGGCATTCAACCCGAGAACCGAGGATAGATTTGTTCCTAATGCCTACTGAATGGAGACTAAATTGGACAATGATCAAAACCATGTTCGCAAGATTCGGCTTCGATGATTGCAACAAAAAGAACGTATGGTGGAGGAGACCAAGCTGTCAAACGAATAAAAATGGACAGTGAAATAAGTGAGTACGTATCCGAAATGATATGAAATTTTTCCTAGAATAGATGGTAAGATATGGAGTGTTTACTCACCAATCCACTTAATATGCCCACGTCTGTATTTTATTATGACATTTGAATGTCAATCAGAACGATCTCGGATTTTCGGGTAGCACACGCTGATCACTTCATCTCCAATATTTTACAAATCATTTGATGTATTCAAAAAGGCGTTCTTTAGTAAGAATGAAATCCATGGAATTACATCAGGCATATGTTCACCAATATTTATGATCAACTCATATCAACTAGTCATGGAATTACCTCAAGAATTTTCATCATTACGTGACCATCATTCGACACGTGAAAGGCTCTGCATCCATAAGTAGGAAGCATGGGTATTATTTACATGAGGGTCATGTTATTGCATAGGAGGCTGGAAATTTTCAGCCGCAATTCCCTTGCATGCTCCAAAACATACATGTATAGATATTTATATAAATCTTATATATAAAGGAGAAGCCATTTTCGAGGCGACTGACGTATCAGCGCACAGCCCGAACTACAAGAGCTACGAGCATGAGCTTTTGCCTACAGCTACCCTTAATGACGTAAACTCCCACTAAGGGAGGGTTTTTCGAAATTCACCCTCTCAGGGGGTGAAAAGGGGGCCAAATTTTTTATGCGATTTCGAGAACCGCTCAAGTTAGAGAGTTGAAAATGCACGTTAGATTCTCCTTTCAAAATAAGAAGACACGTATTTCTTATTTTCTCGAAAATCCACCCCTGAAGGGGTTGAAACGTAGAAAGTTCTAGAAATTTCCACTACTTTTGAAAGGTTTCTCGAGTTTTCTAGAAAGTGAGGGAATATTCTTCGAAACTAAAAACATCTATTTACCCAATGATAATTAAAAATTCTAGAACTTTCGGGAGAACTCGAGAAAGCTAGTTATTAGACAAATTATTCTCATTTCTATTATTATCAGATAGTTCCTTGAAATTTTCGCCGTTTCGTCGAATGTTCTCAGGTTTTATGAAGTTTTCTGGAAAATTCGAGAAATTTCTCAAGTTTTCTCCTAAATTCGAAAAACTTCTCACATTTTGCAAAAAAATCGAGATTCAACTCGAACTTCAACTTTTTCTTCATTGACTTTGACTTATCACGAATAATATTTCCTTCAATGTGATATCATTCATTCATTTAGGAATGAATAAGAAAAACAATAATAATGATCATCATATCAATGATCATATCAATTGTCATATTGATCATCATATCAATTATTCTGCATCAATTTTGAACTGGCCGATCGAGGAGGCGCGCGCTTCGCCCGCGCCTCATGTGGTTGGTATATGCATATGCGTAGGAAGTGAAGGTCACAACGTGAATTCTTGACTTAATTATGGATTTTTCATTTAATAAGTTTTCTTCATTTTTGTAATTTGATGGAGCATTGAACTTTATATTTAGTGATGATATAGAAAGCATACGAATGATTTGTTAATAGTGATGTTGGTCTTTTGTTGTAATTTTTTGTACACAATAAAATATGTCTCGATGAAGAAACCTAATCTTTCTGTCTTTGAATTTATATTAATTGATTGAAACCGTTTTCATAAGCGTAATGCCTGGCACAAATTGAGGGAAAAGAAAATTTAAAACGATTGGAAAATTGTTTGAGTCAATTCTTGAAATGTCCCTGTTTGGTATAGTAATTTTTAAGGCAGCAAGCCTCACTTTATCGTGTGCTCTAGGTAATTAGATGTGGGCGACAAAACTGACCGGTCAGATGACCGCCATGACCGGTAATTACTGCGCCGAGAATCTGACCCTATGGTCAGAAAAAAAATGATGATTGCTCATAAGCATGAAATGATTTTTAGGGAATTCCTTCAAAATTCTTGAAATTCCAGGAATTTTTGCAGGTATTTCCTGAAAATTAAGACAAATCATCAACTGAGGGAGAGATTTCTCAGAATTTTCCTGATTTTTTATTAGTTTCTCCCAAATAATTAAACTGAAATTTACAGCTCCCACGGATTTTTCCATGAAATTATAAATTTTCAATGACAAAATTCCTTGAAATTTCAATGAAAATATTACTTGTTAGAAATTTCCAAGACTCTTACCGGAAATTTCAGTGAAAATTTGTTAACAGTAAACACTGTATGGAATGAATGTTACCATGGACTAACGTGCTTCCTACTGAGTAGTGTAAAATGGATATTTTTGAATTTTTCACGATGCCATCAATAAAATTATTTTAACTCCAATTCACTTCTGTAACTAAGCGTTTGTCCCAAGGACTTCTAAATATGCTCGATGTTCATATCAATCCTGATCCATGTTCCACACTGATGTTTCTCAACTGGGTGTAAGGTAATAAATATCTGTACTTAAATATTCATCTAATTCTAATTTATTCAGAGAATTAATCAAAACCAGATGCATGAATAAGTATGCGTAAATATTCATCTGATTACAATCATCTCTTTTTCCTGCAAATCTTGAATTATGCATCGAATCGAAACTAAATGAATAACTTTTGTCTCCTTCGCCGGAAATTTTTTACTCAGAATTTGAAGTTAAATTCAGTGGCCATATTATCCATCACATCTTATTGGATTAATTTTCAACATAATTAATTGCCAGTTTACAATTGGTAATCCGTCAATCACATTATACTATTTTCCATTTAATAGACATAATTGTTAAGAGGAAAATCATATTAAATGGCGTGAGCGTGACGCTGACAAATTCAATTTTCCTCAAATAGATCGTTTTCCTATATTTATCCATGGAAACACTCCATTATCATAAACTGGGCAATTACTTCGAGTTTTTCCTACCATACGAGATCATCGGGTATCATCGAACATCTGTGATTTCATCACTGCAGCTGCCTGCAATAAGTAATACCGCTAATGAATGAGCGAAGTAATGATCAGCGTTAATTGGATAATTCTATTCATTTTGTCTTGATTGTGGTTAAAAATCAAATCAATTATGTAGCACATTACAATGATTTTCTCATAGAACTTAAGTTCTAAGGCTGCTCACGATAACGAACCTAGCCATGGTCTCATTTCGTATCGTCTACCGGTATCGTCGACGCCAGAAAAGAATGATCTTGGAACTGAGTGGCGAGGACTATACCACATCCAAAATTTTCGAGACGATACCCAGACGTTACTGTACTACGAGGTAATGATCCTATTCTAAAAAGAACATACACTTAAAGTCGATAACTATCGATATCTCGCAAGTCTGTCACGCTTATCCCTCATTTTTTCCAGTCATCTGAGGTAGCAAATTTAATTCATGATTAATTTAATTTTGAGATTTTCAACTATGATTGTTACAATTACTGCGCACTGTAGCGCGCGTTCGGTCTCGTAATGATAAATTTGGTCACCATCATAAGGAATTTGAAAGCCCTGCGCTTACTCGAAGAATGGTTTAACAGATTGAAAAAAAAATCACATCGTCGTTGTATTTATTGAACTATTAGATGCTGGGGGAGCAAAATTTGAAAATTTTTCATTAATGTGGCAGCCTAGTGCATACTCTCTAAGATCTCAGCGTCGGGGGTACGAATTATACAAATTGAAGTGATCGGGAAACCCCTACTCATGCGTCGACGGTTTAACTGAGGGAAAGGAGAACAGGCGGAGAGAGAGAGAAAGAGTATCGGTCTGTTCCAATCCTCCCGTGCCGCCAGTATTCCTATGACGAATTCCTGCTGCGCAGAGATGCACACCTCTTACTTACACATGCTTAGATTGTTAATGGTGGGGGAGGTCAACTTCTCCAATTGAAATCTTACAGTAGCGAAATGAGGGGGGAATAAAAAAACTATCATTATATTTTACTGAAAAGAATTATTATTATTTCAAGTAATTGATTTCTCTGTTTTATAATTATTACATTTTATTATTATTATCATTATTATTCTTTCAAAATGATCACGAAAATTTAAGAGTTTTTCTGAGCTGTACAATTACATGAAATCGAAGATAAGATAAGCAAGATAGGATATGTGTAGGATATGTAACTAAATTCTGCGTAGGTTCATCTTATAATTTTCATGAAACAAGTCTGTAGCAATTTAGCATCCATAAGAATCCTTCACATTTATTAAGCACTCTCATAACAAATGCGAATGCATAACTTCTTTTCCTGTTAATATAATATTTCAGTAATAGCTGCGATGTAGGACAGCAATGACCACAAGGAAAAAATACATAAGATGTAATCTGGAATTTACTAGATGCTATTTTAAACTCCACTCTCGTTCCTCATCAGTATACCAATAAACTGAGAATTAATAGAGGAAATTCATTCAGATTAAAATATTCCTCCACTCCTAACACGACGATCCCAACAATAGAATGAAAATTGCTAATTACATCCAGATTTGAAGGAAATTACGATTGCGACGCAAAAGGTGTTTACAGGGTAGGAAAGAGTGTAGTGAGTGGGGAATCCCAGGGCTCTGGAAGGCAAGTATAAAAGAATCAGAAAATTTCTGCTGCCATCAGTTCTTGAGTTCGCATCAAGAGTAAAATCTTAAATCAGGAGTCAACAAAATGGCCAAGTTCCTAGTTATCATATTAGCGGTGCTTCTGGTCGGTGCATTGGCATCTCCTGTTGCCCAACAGAACGAGGAACTAGGTAATTTTATCAAATCCTCAGAAATTAATCACAGTTCAAGGGACATATTGGTGGGAATATCATGGAATCCAATTGAAAATTGAATGCCAACTGCCAACTATTGAAATTTTGATTCCAGTTCTCACTCAACTTCTGATAGAATTTGAAAGTACTCGAGGACTAATTTTTATTACACTGTTGTGACTATCAGATCTCTGATAGTTAGAATTTTTAATAATCATTTTCAGCTATTGCGAGGCCCAGAACTATATATAATATGGACACCTTGATAACAAACAAGCGAATCTAAATAGGGAACTCATAAAACTTACGCTTGTCTGTCATTAAGGTGTCGATATATATTTTTATTTATTTTTTATTGAGGGAAGTGATCGTTGATAATTCTATCAAAATTATCACCCATAATATAAGATTAATTTGCATAAAATCTAATCCTAAAAAATCTTGAAGAAGATAAAGTCCCTGCAATGTAACGGTTTTCCGAGAAGTGCAGCTCTTGGTTTGTTTTTACTACGAAAACCAATCAATTCCACTTGAATAGAACTGATAAAGTTGAACTGACTTGATTTTCATGCGCTCAAAACTAAAAGTGGAACGGTTTAATAATGCTTCAATAAATGAATATAAAATTTACATTATTTTTCATTGCAGCTGTCGAAACTACGGTGGCTTCCAAAGTGATTAGGTCAGCAGACCCAAATCCAGATCGTTATCGTGGAAAACAATATAACGGTGGAAAACATGGGTATGACCATGGACACGATCACTATCATGACCACAAACATGATCACCGCAAACATCATTGAAGTGGGCATGAAAATCGAGAGAGGTGATACAAAGTTTTCACAAGTGACGAGCTACAGGTAGTTGCTCATATCAATATTAAAGGAGCCGTATCCCTGATACACATTTTGCAATATGCTAGTATAGTAGAGTCTTCCTATCTTTCGTACTCCCTATGATTTCCGTACGAGAAGTTGGCTTCCGCCACTACTGAGTCTCTTGACGTGTAGTGGTGAGTGCGTGTGCCCCTAGGCACGACGGGAACGCGCAGTAGGAGACGTTTCGGCAACACTCGGCATGTCTCCTCTCTTCTCAAGTCACGCCCTCCACGGGAGAGTGGGGGGGCTCCAGGACGTTGCAGCCCGTCGGATTTTCACCCCCGAAGCCAAAATGATAGACAGATTCTACTGTACTTCTTACACTTTTTTTTCATAAATAAATGATGGAATTTGATTTTACAATGATCGATTATTTTCTGTTGGATGTCAACAAATTTGTCATTTCTTATACATTGGATAAGAAAAATAATCGGATTTCAATCTTTATTCACAACAGAAATATCTTTAAATAGTGATATTCTTACAAAACACCGGGTTAGACCTCGGATTTTCAACATTTTTTGTGAAGAAAAGAAAAGGGAAATGAATGGAGCATAAAATTTAAATGACAAAATCTCATTATATTTTTTGTCAATTGTCAGCAGTATTAAATATTCTTCAAGTTCTCAAAACCATAGAGCTGATTTTTCTCTTTCTAACATTAATCCTTCGTTCTTGTTTTGATTTTTAGTGGAGATGACGACGGCTGGTAATTCTCAGGGACTGCACAGAAATCATTTAATGAAATATTTACTCTTTCTTAGAATATTTTTAACTGTTATATCTGAATCGGAATGTTTCTCATATTGATTACATTATTTCAAGTGGTTATGGAGGACGAAAAAAAAATTGAAAATTTTTGATTGTATAGTAGCATGAGGGAAGCATCATGAGCCCTTATGTATATACAGATAGATGTGAATCGGTTCGCCATCAGTGATTGTAATAACCACTCAATACTAATATTGGAATAAATTTCTCAAGTTACAGTATTTAGTATTGTATTTTGTGATGAATCCCTTTATTTTATTTTCTTTGGTACAATTCTGTCCACTACCGTCTACCTCTCAGCTGCCCACTTTTACTTTCCGAGTTCCAACCATCATTTTTTCGAGGTGTTCTTTTGGACTCACCACTCCAAGATGCTCAGCACTGCTTAGCATCTCAAAGCCAACTTTACCCACCAACGCAGTGCGCTCTGTAGCCCCTCCGGCCTGTTTTCTCACAATGTAATTAGTTTCTCATGATCTAATTCAAAATCCTATGATCATAGTTTTCGGCTAATAATCAAGAATGATAAAAAAAATTGTAAAAAAACTTGCACACGTTAGCGCGCGTACAAGGATTTAAATGAAAATACAGAAAAGGTGAAATATCGATGAAATAAAGATGAAAAAAAAGTACCATGGGCGTAATGAAGAAGCTCGGGAACAATAGGGGCACACGTTCGGGAATGTTTATGATTCATTCTGTTTCATAGTGCATCAAATAGCGTAGCGGAAAAAAAATTAATATGAGGTATAAAATTTTTTTATTTTGTTCTCGCTTAAAATCGTGGTTGAAGGGTGCTAATTATTAAATAGTATATATTGTGCGCCTAGCCGAGAAAAGTGCCGTTTTAAGGGACGGCGTGATGTGACATGCTAACACGTCGCAAAACGTGATCGACCTAAATTTTTGTTAGAACCTTTTTTGTAGATCCTGATTTTGTGGGCAAAAACGGCGTGATGTGACGTGCTAACACGTCGTTCCTTAACGGCACTTTTCTCGGCGTGGCTTACATACTATTTTTCTGGACGTGGGGCGCTTGAATTTTTTTCTCAATACAATGTTCAGAAGATAATAGAACAAAAATGCACTGAAATTATATTTAGTGAAGTTCTACATAAGTATACATTTCTGTTTTGTTTCTTCTATGAATAAGAACTCTCATGTTTGTTTCTTACAGTTAAAGTCTTTCGGAAACTTGAATAAAACATCGATTATATCTTTTGAAAAGCTCGATGTTTTTTGGCAATTTTTGTTTGTTCAGTCATCATATTTATTATTTTCCTCTATGATTGTAAATATACACTGTCCAATAATTATTGATCGTAATACCTTGAATGTCTTTGGTAGTTATTTCTTGCGTATTCTGCTCATTGATCGTTGTATTATAATTATCATTGTTGTTGTTAGTCATATCGTCATTGAACTCGCCTCTGATTGTCTCGCTTCTCGATTTGGAGGTTCTCAACGGGAAATTGTTGTTAATTTCCTCTCCAATTCTTGATGTTGTGTAATTCTGAAGAATTTGGACTGCTGGTGTATTCTCATTATAATCCAAAAATGAAGTGTTGAGATTAGGCAATACATTTTCTTTATTTCGAGTCATTTCGTTAATGGACTCTCTCGTGATTGTCTCGTTCCTGATGTTTTGTGTTTTGCATGGCAGATTATTGCAGAATTAATGCTACTAAATTTGTGATTCAGGGTCGATCTGCGGCTGCAAAAATGCCGAGGCATTCTGGAAATTGATAGACTCTCTTATCTTTTGACTGATTATTCTCTTGGTTCTCTTGGATTTCTGTATGTATCCTCGAGCAACTGCAGGTGACTGCCACCCTTCTGCAAGTTGAATTAAAGTCATACTTGCACCTGCATCAGCCAGCATTGAGGCCGAAGGACGGCGGAAGCAATGTTCTGTGTAATCAGAGGGTGTATCCAACTCTAGATATTTGGCGATTTCTCAAGGCTTGTGAGCAAATGTGTGTTCACCAACGTTCTGATTTGAACATTTCCCTTTGTGATACTACTGAATGAAAAAGTTGGGCGTTGTGATGTTTGATCCTCGTAATGTCATATATTTCTTTACCAGTGGTTAATACTCAGCATCCACAAGAAAATCCTTGGGTTGACCATTTTTAGTTGTCTCCAAGGAAAATAACAATTCACGTTTTTGTGGATCGTCCTGATGAACATCTTTAGCCTTCAAATTCCAGAGATCTTGCTTCCTGAGGGTACCTAACAGTCCAATAACCACAATAACCTGAAAAAAAATGAAGATCATCATGATTATTTATTTCAAATTCAACACGACAGCTTAATTGCATTGGTTCCCCTATATGCATTTCTGTAGCGAAGTGGTCAAGGAGGTTATGTTGATTTTGTTTTTCGGTTATTTGTCGATCAATATCTCGGAAACTAAGTGAAATAGCGAAATTTTTGTTAGAACCTTTTTTGTAGATCCTGATTTTGTGGGCAAAAAAGGTATCCATAACAATTTTATTATTTCCCTCAGTTTTGGGGATATTGATCGACAAATAATCGAGAATTGAAATCAACTCAACCTCATTGACTACTTCGCTACAAATTTGTTGAGGATAATTACCTTTGTGAGGAGATGATCATAATCAGGTGCTGTTGACAAGAATTCGGCCACCTGTTCTGGCATCAGAATTTTTGCCTTCTTGGGTACATATACTTTATGTCTCTTCTTTAGGCTGGAAATAAATCAGTTTGTCGAGAAAATACTATATCGATGTTGAGTATGCCATCAATTGTTATAGAAAATTGTTACAGAAAAGAGGCACGAAAAGTCCGAGTAGGTCTCACGTCATTCTTCGACAGTTTAACGCTGGTAACTATGACGATGAGTGAATTCGGACCTCCAGAGCCCGTCTACAGCCACTACCACGAATGAATAATGAATAACAATTGATGAAATCCCCGACAATAATTAATTATCGAGTTCATGAGATAGCAAAGGATGTCTGAGCACACACCAGCACCCTACAGACCTCGTTCTGTCTACGGCTATGCATTGTACATCGGCTCGAACATGTTATTCCTCCTATACCTACTGTGGGCAGTGGTCCCCGAGAATTTCCTCCACGACAAACTGGGCCTAACATATTGGCCACTAAAATACTGGGCAGTGGCTATTCCCATCTGGGCACTGACTGCAATAGCAATTTTTGCCTTCATCATTTACCCCGGCATCAACATGTTAATGACCCCGGATATCGATGACATTAGAACTATAAAGGATCAGTACTCTCTCGTACAGAGTGAGCCCATACCTGGAGGCAGTCCACCAGTCTCTGATGTACTTATTACTGATGTTTGTAGACGATTGTATTTGAGGGAGGATATTAAAGCATTGAACTAATAAATACAGTAGAGGCTTCGTATAAGATACCTTAGGGACAGTAGGAGAGTGGAATTCTGGGAGCCCCTATGCCCCCACTACGCGCGCCCATAGAGAGGAGAAGAATAGGGATCAGCGGGTTTCAAATAAGATACCTCGCTCGTTGTGCTCGAATTCAATGAAATTTTTATTTTTACTGAATGAATATCGATAACTAATCAATTTATATGTGTTTACTGTTTTGAATTTTCATCGCCTACGTTCCCTTTTTTCTCAAAACATAAGCCCGCGTGCTAGAATGGCAGCTGATGTTGGGGGATTGTTGGTGGACTGGAGAATAATCACAGACGAAATATTATCATTTTTTGATGCGAAAAGTGAAAAAAAAACAGATGTATATTTCCATTACTTGAAAAAAGTGGTGTGACCCCCCGTTAAGGTCATTAGACCCTCACGATTACTTCGTTCGCCCCTCCCGTTTGACCCTTAACACCGTTTGATCCTTATAACTACTCTCTTACCGTTGAAAAATCGCCGGGGCCATAGGTATCTTATAAGAAGCCCACGGAACAAACATTCAAGAGGCGATAAAAGTGCCGAGAGTGGGGGTAGGCCTCGAGCACTCGGAGCGTGAGGTATCGTATACAGGGGTATCTTAAAGGAAGCCTATACTGTATAAAGCATTGATACTAAGCATTAAATTGATACGAAAAACAAATTTCTGAATTCATGACAATTAGTTTGTGGTATTCGAATTTTAATTCTTAATTTTTCTCCGTTATTCAATTCATTCTATCGAAAGACAAGGATAGAAATCGGATCGATGGGTATTCTTTCATTATTGGAGAAGATATATCGATTTTAAATTTTCCCGAGACGTTGAAAAAATGATTTTTTTATTTCTTCCCGCCGACATTCTGTAATTGGTCCAGCGTTCGACTACCATTGTGACGTCATTAACAATTACAAAGTTTTTGAAATCTTCAATGTTCGAGAATCAATTATCAATTAACGAGCAATATTTTTAGTATTTAGCGGGACTCCGGACTAAAATCGGATAAGAAATCACATGAAATTATGCCAAATCGTTGAAATCCTAGGCAGGCAAGTCATTCGAAATATACGAAACTTGGAATTCAAAGCAGTACATTTCGTCATTCGGCCAAAAAAACTTTTGCAATTATATGAGAGCTAAAATATTTTTTTGGGCTGTGTTAGAATCGAATAGAATAGAAAATGTGCGGCTGGTCACTTAAAGCGCCCAGAGTCACCTAAATCATACGATCTTTTGTAACCTCCGCCTTAGTTTCGGTCAGTCACACAGCCCCAGCCCTGTGTTTCTCACTAGGCTAATAAGGCTGGTGACAGCCGCTTGTTGTAAGTCCTCTCGTTCCAGGAAAGCCTGGCCCCAGATTTTATAGCGACGGAGTGCTAATAGGGGGCATTCACATAAAATGTGGATGACGCCCTCCTTATCGCCTCCGCACAGTCTGCAGTCTTCTTGTTCTGCAAGTTTCATCTTGAACAGATGAGCTCTGAGAGCTGTATGACCCGTAAGGAGCCCTACTGCTACCCTCAGATCCCCTCTGTGCAGCTCCAGAAGCTTTCTGGTCCTAACTCTTAGTTGCCCTCTCATAAGCAGTTTCGCTTGTCTGCAGGTCGCAACTTTCTCCCAACGCCTGACATGATCCCGCTGGAAATGATCTTTAATAAGAGTTTTTCCCACTGCGAAGGGCATGCCAAGCAGGCCGTGTGAGCGCACCCTTTCTGTACCCTACTTGGCCAGCTTATCTGCCTCTTCATTACCCAGAATCCCATGGTGACCTGGCACCCAGGTTACGGTGACCCGGTTGTTTTTACCCAGTGTGTCCAATGCCTGCATGCATTCCCACACCACCTGTGACTCTGTAGTGGGTTTTTCCAGGGCGTGTATCGCCGCCTGGCTGTCACTGCAGATGAATATTTTCATCTTTTTTGTGTCTCTCGCGTTCAGATACTCTGCACACTTAAGTATGCCCAGCATCTCTGCTTGAAAGACGGTTGAGGACGGTTGAATGATGCCTGGTTCTCCGAAGCCATCTTTCAGACGGTAGATGCCTGCCCCAAAACTTTCATTGAAGCCAGAGCCGTCNGGTGTCTCTGGCGTTCAGATACTCTGCACACTTAAGTATGCCCAGCATCTCTGCTTGAAAGACGGTTGAATGATGGCCCAGCGGAAAACTCTCTCCGAAGCCATCTTTCAGACGGTAGATGCCTGCCCCAAAACTTTCATTGAAGCCAGAGCCGTCCGTAAACCAGTAGTCCTCTCTTGGTCCTGGTTTACGTTTCGAGTCTAGCCACTCCTGTCTGGGTGGTATACTCGTTCTGAAAGTTTTCCTGATCTGATACTTCCTAGGAATCCTATCCGTCTTACCTATGAAGGGTCGATCATTGATTAGGCTAAGCCTTGTATGGCCTTGGCCCGTCATCTTCCATTCTAGTTGGCACCTTAGTCTATATGCAGTTGTGGTAGCACAACTCACAACCCTAAGGTCGAGGGGTGGGATACTGAGTGCTATTTCTAGCGCCTCAGTAGGTGTCGATTTCATGGCTCCTGTTGCAGCCCTCAGGAAGGTTCCCTGTAGGCTTTTCAACAGGTTCCTTGTTTCCGTCTTACTCACCCTCGGCCACCAGACGACCGCAGCGTATAACAGTCTCGGAAGTAGAACTATTTGGTAGAGCCAGAGCATCATTTTAGGATTGAGTCCCCATGTCCTGCCCACAGCTCTCCTGCATGCCCACATAGAGGCAAACACTTTATTTCTCTGAGTACAGATATGTTCTTTCCAGCTGAGTTTATTATCCAGGAGGACACCCAGATATTTCACTCTGCTGGTGTAGTTAATCTCCGAGCCATTTAGCTTCAGAGGTTGGATCTTTTCCAGTTTATAATTTCTGGTGAAAACCAGGATTGTTGTTTTGGCTGGATTTACCGATAGGCCAGTTACCCTGCACCAGTCCTCAATGATATTGAAGGCTGTTGCCATCAGGTCCCTTAGCACCCTCAGAAATCCGCCTTTCACAACAACTGCCACATCATCGGCGAAACCGATGACGTGGAAGCCGGCCTCACTTAGTTGATTTAGAAGTCCATCTACAACCAGGTTCCATAGCAGGGGCGAGAGAACTCCCCCCTGCGGACAGCCCCTAGTCGGACGTCCCTCCACACATGCCCTCCCATGTCCTGCCGACAGTCTTCTGCTTTTCAGCATGTTTTGTGTCCAAGCAATGATAGTCTTGGACACCTGTCGTTCTTCCATGGCTTTTTCTATAGCCGGATTCGAAGTGCTATCAAAAGCCCCCTCAATATCCAGAAAGGCGCCTATGGCAAAACCCTTGACCGCCAGTTGTCCCTCAATCAGTCCCACCAGGTGATGTAAGGCGGTATCTGTTGATCTTCCCTCTCTGTATGCATATTGACAGGGGGAGAGGGGTCTGTCAGCCAAGGGCCCGGCCTTGATGTGTCTATCCACCAGCCTCTCCAGGGTCTTCAGGATGAAGGATGTGAGGCTTATAGGACGGAAGTCTTTTGGTTTTATATAACCGGTTTTTCCCGGCTTGGGAATGAATACTATCCTAGTCTCATTCCACACACTAGGGACATGTTTCAGGGCTATACTAGCTCTGAGTATCTTGGTTAGGGGTCCCGTGATAGTCTCTATCCCTTCCTGTAATAGGGCTGGGTAGATCCCGTCTGGTCCCGGTGCCTTGAAGGGTTCAAAGGTTTTGATGGCCCACTTGACCCCCCAGGGCTGCACTACTTTATTTGCCAATGCCCAATCATGGGTTTCGTAGACATCCCTCTGATTTTGCATTGTTTCTTTATCTCTCTCCTGGGCCTGTATGAAGCCTGGAAAGTGGGTGTTCATTAGGAGTTTCAGAGTCTCTCCCATGGTTTCCGTGTGGCTGCCATCTGGTGCCTGTAGGCTCCCTAGATATGGAGTCTTGTTTGTTCCAAGGATTTTTGCCAGCCTAGAGGTCTCCGATTGACTCTCCACATTGCTTGTGAAAGCCCTCCAGCAGTCCTCTTTGGCTGCCTTTATTGCCTTGTTGTAATCTGCGAGCAAGCCTCTGTAAGTTTTCCATGCGTCTTCCTTACGGGGGCCCGCTCTCATGTTCTTAGCTTTGTTAAAAGCTTTTCTAGCTTTGCCCCTCAGCCCACCGAGCCTCTCTGACCACCAAGGAGTCTCAGTGGGCTGCCCTTTCGGGATAAGCTTGCAGTTTGTCTCGAAGGAGTCCATGATGGCCTGGTTTAGGGCAATCGAAGCCTCCTCCAGCTGCTTTTTGTTGTTAAATCTGAGGATGATATCCCTGAGATTGTCAGATAGACTCTCTCGGTAATTTCCCCAGTTTGTTCGTCTTGGGTTTCTCACCCATTCCGTTTCTTTCACTGTGTGGATGGACATTCTTATGGTTTGATGATCGGACGCTGAGAGGTCCTTTGAGACCCTCCAGTCCCCAATCATGTCTGCCACTCTATCCGTCCCCAGAGTGATATCTATGACCTCCTGTCGTCTCCGATCTATGAAGGTAGGTTCTGACCCCCTATTAAGGATGTTTAGACCGGCCCCCATTATGAATTCCTGGAGGCTTTCCCCCCTGCCGTTAATGCCGGTGCTCCCCCATGCTACATGGTGCGAGTTGGCATCACAACCTAGCAGGAGTTCAAGTCCCCTTTCCTTCACATGGTTGCATAGGTCCTTTACTTTTTTCGAAGGAGGTGGTTCAGCCGAGTCATAGGGCATGTAAACTGACCCTACAACCAGGCTCATTTCCTCGCCTTGTCCCAGGCCCAGATCCACTTGTGCCACAGCCAGGTCTCCCTCACTAGCCTGTGAACAGAAGAAAGAGTCTAGTCCTTTAATAACAATGCAAGATCTAATTTTCTCCTGAGTGTTTGCGTGATAGATTCTGCCACAACCACTGAGGCCCTTAATAGCATTGTCCACTATCCATGGTTCCTGGATCATTGCTATGACAGTCTGCATCCCAGCTAACAGCCTGACTAGAGTAGCCGAGGCTGCTTTGCTGTGGTGCAAATTTATCTGTACAATGTGCACCCGGGTTGCAGCCATAATGATGACTACTTTCCTGGTACCTCTATGTACCCTTCTTCTGACTTTCACCACGGTCTTTCGCAAGCAGCTTGACAGTAGCTTTTTGAATCCCGCAGTGCAGTCTGAAGTTGCAGGCTTTCAGAACAGAGAGTGATCGGTCGTCTATCAGCGCAACGAAGTGGGCACTTTTCGCGTCCCTACTCTCACTGCCCCGAGCGACAACCCACTCTCTGGCCTGCAGTCCTGCATTTTGTTTCTCAAGGAAGCACAGTGCTTCTTGAGCGGTTAGATCTGGGTCTTCCACGTGTAGTACAACCCTGTGCTTCTTGGGAAGCTCCGAGGCTGCGACCACACGTACAGTAAGTCCAGCTATTTTGTTTTCGGGGAAAAGGCTTTTCAGCCAATTTCCCGTTTCCTCATCAGTGCAGCACACCATTGCCACACCTTCTCTTTCCCAGACACCGTTGAAGGTGGGTGCTTTCACCCCGTCAGGTAACGCCAGAATGGCCCTCTTCAGGAGTTTCTTCACCTCCGTTACCTCTTCAGTGCCCAGTTTCTGATCCGGATATGACTCCGGCATAACTGCAAACTTGAATGAGCTCGTAGTGTTCTGAGCATATGTGCCCTGATCCTGCGTTCTCATTCTCTTTTCTTTCGGTCTGACTGAGGGGCTTGGCGTAGTACGCTCTGATGGAAGGCGTTTTATTGCCTTCCTCGTAGCCCCCTCCCCCCTTCCCTCATCGACCTTCGCTGCTGCATCCGTCAAGGTTGCAATCGCCCCCGAGGTTTGATGCAGCTTCGCTCTCTTGCGACGTCTTCTCTCGGCTCCACTCAGTCTGACCCGATTCACATCGGTACCAGACTGGTCAGCCTTGTCAGACTTCGTGTGTTTGCCATCGCTGGCCCCACCCGAAGTTGCTTTTTCAATATTAAGATTTTTTAGATTGGTTTCCATTTTAGTCCCACGAGTACCGCGGTTAAGCTTTTTCACCTGGTGCATTGCCGCGATTGCCCAGGGCTTGGCTTGTCTCGGGTGGGTTACACCCAAGACTACTCTCAGAGGTCGCCCAGGTTTCTGAGAGGGACCGTTAGCAACACAGCTCCCCCTGTGCCACGCATCCTTAGGCACGGTATGGCCGAGGCCATGGCTTACGCCGCTCACGCACATGGATTGGGTGGGCTCCTCTTAGCGACCGCGGGCAGCAGGGATTCCAAAACAACAGATCCGTGTTTAATCTCTATTACACTATCACATTGTTATCGTTGTAAACAGAATGCGCTTTTGTTGAGTATATAAAGCGTTAAATTTTCATGAACGTTTGTAGTATTCGTAATAAGTCCACAGATCGTTGTAAACACTCTTTAATGCAGTTATAGTGACTCAGTCTATTTAACAGATCTTGGCTCAAACTAACTATAATTAAAATTGAATTCATTAATGATTAAAAATTATTGATTGATTGATTTAAAATTATGGTACGCATCGGTATCATCGGATTTATTTTTTGCTCATTAACCCTAAACGTCTGCAACGATGAAGGGGCCAATGGTATAACATCTTCAATACTTCCTACCTTATATAAGTTGATATTTCAAATGAAGAATGATTGTAAAAATAAACAAGAATGCACATCGTCAATGTTTTAGTAACTCCCACTATCTTGTTCTTTATGAATAGATTCAAAAATTTACCGAGGAAGAGTAAACAAAGAAGAGTAATCATCAGAGCATAGAGAATTTTCTATTCCTCCAGTCAGAAAAAAAAGGTTGTGATCGTCCAATTACAAACATTCAAAATTAAATAACAAAGTGTCCGCAATTTGCGACAAGTGGCCCTTAGGGCACCCCCTTTCCAATTACCTATGTTCATGTTTCTGCCACTACATATGAGGTATTTCGCGCTTTCATAGGGTGTCAATTAAAAAAAATTTTTTTAATAAAAATAGGACATATCGATATAGATAAAGAAAGTGGATTAGCTTTAGAAACTAGTTTCTAGATTTTAGAAAGTCCTGTTCTTAAGCTTTATTCTTGGTGGATTGTTTTTAAGAAAAAAAAAAAAAACAAAAAGCACCAATTATTCATAATGAATTCCACATTTTTGTTAGTTCGATAATCGAGGATTAACAGGCGAGATTTACATGAAAATATGTTCATAACAAATATTTGCGGATGAAGAAAAAAAATGAAATTATTAAAGGATTACACACATCCGTTTTACCTCTTCTGTTCAACCCTTCCCCGTTTTAGTCCTCATTTGAACCTACAAAAAATATTGATTCATTCGTTCAAACGAACACGAAATTGGTCTGTATGAAGGATGGTGCGAAAAAAAAATTCCATCAAATTCAGGCGAATAATTATTGACATTGACTTTTCGATTTTCTTGGTGCACAGTATACTAATTCAAGTTTTATTTCAAATTTTTCGCAGCTGAAGTACTCCCTACAATTCAACCTACCAAGTCACTCCCGCCATTTACCGAAGAACCTCATAGGGTCTGCACGACTAAAGTTTGTAATGATACAGGTAAGTTCATTGATGAATGTAGTCAATTCAGTAGAATTTCCAAGGTTGAAACGGGGAAATTCACATTCAATTTCGTGACTTTATCGACGACATCAATCAACTCTCACAAGGAGAGATACAAATCGGCCCATTAGTCTGCTTCAAGTCGGGTTTGTCTTGATTCAAGCAGATTTTCCGGCTTGATTTAAGCCGATCCTTCGGTATGATTCAAGTAGAAGTTTCGGTTATAATACCTCGAAAAGCTTTACAATTATCGGGTATTTCTCGACAACTTTGTTGCATACAAACGAAGATGTCCAGTTTCGCAGGTTAAAGGGGATTTTTCCTTCGAAAATTGACGCATTCGTTTTTGTATGCAGGCAAGTTCGAGGAAAATACTTCGATTCATTTTGAAATTCGAGGGGAATTCGGCGGATTATTTCCCACATCAACAGTTAAATAAATAGAATTGTGGTATTCCCTGTCATCGTGGGACAATCGACAATTTTTTTTTATTCTGCTTGACAACGGGAAAATTACCGTATGACGGGAAATTGACGATAAGAAGCACCTTTACCATACTACTAAACACGTATTAGTGGTTTGGAAAAACTGGCACCTTATCTCAGTGATCAAGATAATCTATAACTCAAAAGTACTGTAGAGAAATTCCAACTTTCAACAAGAAAGGGAGTTTTTCCACATGAGTACGTTGACTCTTGCGAGAAACTCAGTGCCCCTCAATTGCCTGCTCCATCGAGGAATTCTATTCTCAACTGAATGATGAGAGTGTCTCTGTTGACGAGACAATATATGTTTTTCCATCTCTGCAAAAACGTCCCCGCTGTGAAGTCAGTGGCAGACAACGCCATCACCCATACAGAACCAAAAAGTTCAAGAAATCAAGAAGGTTTTAAAATGAAAAAAAAATAACACGTATTTTACATCTAATGTAAAAGTTTTTATTGTACAAACCATACTACTCCCATGTAATTCTTGTCTGATTCTTCTGATGACAAATTTCTGTAGATTTCTACATTCTCGACAATTCTGTTCCAGGAGATCCGACTATATTCTAATGCTATTGATTTTTCTTTATTTTGCAGCTTCCATGATCATCACAAAAATGGACAGAAACGTGAAACCTTGCGACAACTTTTACAGGTTCGCCTGCGGTAACTATCTGAACAATACACTCATCCCACCTGATCGAGAAACGATGGATGCCTTCGTAGAAATCGAGATAGAAATTCAGAAGCAGTTGCGGCCAGTCCTCGAGGAGCCGAGTCTCCCCACGGAACCTAAAGCATACAAACTTGCAAAGAAGTTGTACAAATCCTGCATGAACGAAAGTGCGAAAGCCATATCCAGATAAATCAGACAAATAATTTTTGATATTTCAAAAGCATATTTGGTAAAACATAACAGGGCAAATCGATTGAGTTGTCTAATTGAAAATTTAATTATTTGAGTAATAAGTAATCGTAGGAGAAATTTTTCAAATTTTTTCTGCAGGCTTTACTGCAGTAATTTAAAAAATCGGAAAAAGTACGGTGCGGCGCTCATAGCGCGACCAACGGAGTGTTAATAATGAATTAAATAGTAAAAGCAACCATAAAACTCCTCCAGATTTCTCAGATCATTTATTTCACTTATTAATAATTATTATTTCAAAAGTTAGTTTACTAGTACCTTTCTTCGTAAAAAAATGGACGTTAAGACATTTTGTTAAATCTTCCACTATTACAAGGAAACTGATATATCTGTGATGATTTTCAGCTGCAATTGAAACTCAAGGTCTCAAGCCACTTCTCAGTATCTTGCAGAAACTTAGAGGATGGCCGGTTCTAGAGGGAGACCAGTGGAACGAAGAGACTTTTAACTGGACTCAATCGGTTTACAATCTCAGCGACCTGGGATATTCTGTCAATTACTTCTTTGAAATTAGTATCGAAGCGGACTTGAAGAATACTACGAAGCATGTTCTTTATGTATGTAATTATTGTTAATGTAGGAACGAAAAACAGAAAGATAATTTCAACAGTTAGATGAGATAGAGGGAATTTGTTCATAAAACCCGCGTGAAAAAAATACAAGAATTAGGTATAGATTTACAATACAAATCCAGGGGAATTTTAATAATTTTTTTTAAAACTAGGTTTTGATCAGATTTGTCCTTTGAGCCATGACACACCAAATTCTGATATTAAAAAAATTAATTTTCAGTTGGATCAAGCATCCCTGGGGCTATCACGTAAATACTTAACCGAAGATTTAAACAAAACAATAGAGTATTGGAGTTACATGGTGAATATTGCAGTGATGCTTGGTGCCAAACAAGAATTCGCTGAGAAGGAACTGGTCCAGTCTCTCAAATTTGAAATGAAATTAGCTAACGTAAACCTTTTTTTAAAATACTTCCGTAGTCTCCATACGTTGTTCCCCAAAAGTATCCCCAACATAATCTTGAGATTCATATTTTCTAACAATTCGCTTCTCCAGATTTCTCTACCAGAAGAGAAACGCCATAATTACACGCTTCTCTACAATCCTATGACAATCGCCCAGCTCTCCCAGACGTACCCCAGCATCCCCTGGAAGAAGTACTTCAGCCGCCTGCTTCCACCTTCCATCCGAGTGGACGACAGCGAAATCGCTATCGTCGCAGTCCCCAGCTTTATCACAAATCTCGAGAAACTCATGAAAGAAACTCCTAAACGAATTCAAGCCAACTACATGATGTGGAGGGCGGTAGCAGCATCACTCAACTATTTGACTCCCGGCAATGGGACACAAAGGGAATCCAGATGGAAAGTGTGCGTTAATATCGTCTTAGAACGTCTCTCCAGAAGTGTTGATGTTCAGTACGTTCGGAAGTACGTTCGGAAGTACTTCAATGAGGATGCTAAAAAGAATGCCATTGAGATGGTTTATGACATGCGGAAGCAATTTAATCAAATCCTGCAGAATCTTGACTGGATGGACGACGAAACGAGGAAGAGTGCACTGGAGAAGGCTACTTCCATGACCAGCCATATTGCCTATCCTGATGTGCTTCTCGATGAGAGAAAACTCGAAGAGTTCTATCACGATTTGGAGCTCAGCGATGAGAATTACTTCCAGAATATTCTGAATCTTACGTTATTCGAAACTAAGTATTCATTCAGTAAATTGAGGAAACCGTTTAATAAGAGCGATTGGGTGACACAAGCAAACCCGACCACTGTTAATGCTTTCTATTATGTAGAGGAGAATAGTATATGTGAGTAATTGATTTCAAGCTGATATGATTGGAAATAAACATAAACTTTTCAACGAATGCACTAGAATTTTCTATTAATTTCAATTTTAGATTTTTTTAAAAACGTACATGTCACAAAGCTTATGTCAAAATTTTAATTCAATATGTCAAAACTCTCGTTCATACGTCAACATTCAAAACCAATAGTTTTTGTGACGTGTGAAACCCCCGACGAGAAACTTTTCTTTAGTGTAATATTTATTGCCTTCTGAACGATTCGAAGAAAATATAAATAATTCTTAGAGCGGAAGCAAAGTTGCTTTTAACTTCCCGGTGTAATACGACTTTTGACCGATTTTTATTCGAAATATTTTCAGACCTTCCGGCTGGTATTCTCCAGGGTGCTTTCTTCAACAACGATCGTCCAAGGTATGTGAACTATGGTGCTATTGGCTTTTTCATTGGTCACGAGATAACCCATGCATTTGATGATGTGGGACGACAGTTCGATAAAGAGGGAAATCTTGTCGACTGGTGGGCGCCTTCCATTAAAGAAAAATACCTCGCTAAGGCACAATGTTTTATCGATCAATATGGAAATTACTCAGTCGAAGAAGTTGGGTTGAACGTAAGTAAAAGAATCCGGCAAATTGACAGCGTCATCTGAATTTTCAATGTTGTGAGTTTGAATTCAATTTCAAATGAAAACGTTCACTAAATTTCTCATTCGTCTTGAAAATTCAAGAAAATTGGGTTTTTCATGTTAAACGATCATTGATTTTTCAATGAAAGCTTGAATTTCTAAACTCATTGTAAAAATTGAACATCGCATACAATTCAATATTCAGTAGATTAAAAATTCAGAGAAGTTTTTGTCTAAATTTTCAAAATTTTCAAGGTTTTTCAGTGCCCTATGGACCTGAAAATCGAGAATTACTTGAATATTCAAGAAATTAACTGATTTGTCAATGGAGAATTCTACAGAAATTTCATGTAACTTTGTCGTTGTTGGAAATTTCAAGCGTTTTCACTTGGAATTTTAAGAGTAATTTTCTAAGAGTGTAACAGAGGGATATCTATTCTCGTTTTTTCTCATTTTCCATTTGCAGTTGAATGGAATAAATACTCAAGGAGAGAACCTTGCAGACAACGGAGGAATAAAGCTAGCCTACTTAACTTACAAGGATTGGTCAGCCCGTAATTGCCGAGAGCCAATGCTCTCCAGACTTCCCTACACCCCAAGACAAATGTTCTGGATAAGTGCAGCTAGCACTTGGTGCGAGAAGCACAGAATGGAATATCTCCAGCAGTTAGTTACCGTTGACCCCCACAGTCCTGCAGAATTCCGTATATTGGGAATGCTGTCCAATATGCCAGAATTCGCTGAAGATTTTAAATGTCCCGTAGGATCCAGAATGAATCCAAAGAAAAAATGTTCTCCGTGGTGATTTTTCAATCAAATCCGTAGGGGCACACTGGAAATACTTATCACTCTACTGCATTTGCCCTGCATCGTCATTTCTACATAATTGAATGATTC